CAGTAAAACAACCGAAAATTACGAGTATATCAAAAAAATAATAAGAACTATAAGTAATTAAAAACAGGTAACTTGTTGGGATCTATTCATTTTTCTCTTTTAAAGGAATAATAACCTACAAATCAAGAGATGCATTGCGAATTTTTGTTCCGAGCGATCATTTACCTTAACATATCTTTCTTAGTGAGATAATTTCTATACGGGACAGACAGACAAAGAAAGTCAAGACGGAATCTAGCACACAAGTACATCGGTTCAAGTTGCCACAATTCACAGTAGTATATAAATAATAGGTGGATAAAAAAGAATGATATCCAAGAAGACAAAATTGTGTGACAATAAGCAATCCAAAGATAAAGGTTAGTGCAAATATTCAAATGTTAGAAGTCAGCGACTGAATACATCTACACCACAGTAATTTATTCTCAGCTATATTATCAACGGACCTCAACCACTGGTTCCTATCGTCTTAAGGACCCCAGAAAAGCGACAGTCTACGTCCCCCCCACGCTCGGGATTCCAATGGCTAGTACCATATCTTGGTGTGACCACCCTGAACCCCCTTACAAATTTCGCTAGCGTGTCATTTCGAACTAGACTATGACTTAGTATGCTAATTATACGTCCATACAATCTCAGTTGATGAAGGTTTAAAACCTCACCAATTGACTTGCTTGCCTTGCCTAGTACCCTTCACCAGACCTCAACATTGCTCACTCGATGATCCCATCAAACCTGAGCAATGCTTAGAAGATATCTGTGATCAAATACCTGTAACCACTTCATGTCTTTTCCCAACGGCCACACCTCACAGCCGAATAATAGGATAGAACGGATTGTAGAGCAGTATACTCATCCCTTAATAAATAGTTGAATGTCTCACTAGTCACGAGGCGCCACAAATGAAGCAAGTTGGCAAATGCCGAATAGGTGTTATGTATGCGAGCAGAGATCCCGTCAGTAAACAACCCGTTCGGGCTGATACAATTCTCCAAGTAAGTGAAGTGGTCGACACATTCCACCAATTCACTCCCTAGCATTAAACTGCGCGTAGTTGCAGACCAGTCCTGAAGAATTATCTAACATTTGAGGAAAAAGCAACAAAAGACCATTTGTTATGGTACAATTTCCAATGGTAATGTGCCAACGTAAAATAACTCTTTCTAGGTCAAAAGATATTTCAGTTCTCTCTTGCAGTTTATTCCTGTGGTAAGTTTGAACAAAGCAAAACCATTATTGCTTTAACCATTTGTTCGAATTAATGAAATGATACATCATTCATCAAAATTTTAACAAGATTTGTTAGGGTTAACGATGATTTATATAATAAAAATGACAATGGCAATGACGATAGTATGGAAACGCTCACTAAACTATAAATCATACATTCGTTTCCATAACACAATCATTAGGACTCGTTCTAAAAGTACAAGTCAATATGGATAGCTTTATTAGCTAATACACAAAAAATTCCTTAAAATGCTAAAATATACGAAAAGAAAACATTTTTAAAATGATGAAGTGAATAGGTTAAGGCGATAAGTTTATTGTTCACCGACAGCGAGATGAGAGTCACTTTCACGGAATGATATACAATGCAGATGCACTAAGCAGACATAAAATTAGAATGATAGTACGTTTACAGGGGTTTAACGTTTCAACTGAATTAAGGTTATAGAAACATTGCAGCAAAGAAATGAGCATGCGTTCAAGTCTATATGTTAAAGGACTTATCACTGAGATAAGCACTGATACCAATCGAATATATATCACTATAATGGATTCATAAGCCTAGCGACTACACATACGAAAAGGTTATTATTTAGTATTCACATAGATACCTAAGATATGGATGAATCGATCGTGTTTGTATAATTAATGAGACACCATTGATTCTTCAGATATGTTTGATCTTTTAATGATCCCCCTACTACTCAATTAGTACTTCATATACATACGTGTGTTTATACGCTTACTTCTAATTGCCTGAATCTTGAATCTCTCGTCGACACACAGTTATAACAAGTATTCTTATTTTTTTCTGTGTGAAACTGACTCTACAGCTATATTCATTAGTAATAAACTTCATATTTTCTAGTTCTAAGTGCTGATCGGATGCCATGGATAGTTTCTTGTACAAATAGTTACCAAGTCAGAAGACTCAACATTGTGATACATTTTGAATGATGTTATGTAGTTGATGACAATCAGCAGGAGAGTCACCTAGCCCTAGCCAGAGTATCATACAGCCTTGCAGGTAGAGATGATACCAGTGAGTTATTCAGGTCGGGACTGACTGGATGACATACAATAATTGGTCACAGTAGAGCATTCAGTTACACATAGGTTTGTTTAAATGTTCCACTTGGCACATAATGAGAAAACAAGCTGATATATCTGTTAAGAAAACAGACCAGTGTATGTGAGAACAACGAGATAGTTAACCTTTCCCGATTGTATGCAAACAAGAGTTTTACAAATATAATGCAGTCAGACAAACGAATCACACACTTGTCATCAAGACAGAAAACGAACCCATTGAAAATATTTTTACGAAAGATAAAATGAGAACACAAAATGTTAGGAAAACACTTGGGCATTGTGGAAGACAATAATTCTATATTTGATTGCTTATTTGGTATAGCCAACACACAGCAATACAGTATAATTTACTGGATGACGTATCAAGCACAAGTGATTGCTTATATTTATATCGAACTAATCACACGACTTTCAAACTTCCTTTATGTAGTCGAACAGTTCTTCATTCGTTCATTGTAATGGTAGTGAAATTTCTCAGATATCTGCAATATCTGATGAGTCATTCCTGTTACACGTGTTAGGTGTTGATTCAATGAAGAAAGATTCTGTCCCTTCACCTAGTCAGCTATATTGAATTTTAGAATTGTCACCCTATCCCACCCACCGTATAGTGTGATTATGGGTCTGTGCATACAGAGGGATAGCAGAGTTCTTCTCTAAGTCACTTGTCTTAGTAGGGTTTGCCAATATGTATTTCGCTAAATTTTTATGTTTTGCTATTCTCACTGACCCAGATCGACTGCCCTTACCTACATATATATACTTGACCTCACAGTCATTTGTGTTATGATCCTACGCTATATATAACGATTCAACGCTCCGAGAAGAATACGATTAACGATGGAACAATGACTTGTGAACTCGATATTCAGCTGACACTAGAAGAAGACGACGAGACTGAAAATTTATTCACTCCAACCGAATTCTAATAAGTGAAAGCTCAGTCGTTTATATAGCCTTAGATAGTCTTGGCCAGAGAAAACAAAATAGCATATTGAAAGTGTAGAATGGACCAATCAGCGTTTAGCATTCTAAACTGTGGTGAAAATAAGAAGCATAACATGCTGCAAAAAGGGTGCGAAATAAGACTTGAACTTTACAATAATAATGTAAAAATATTAGGGATTGAAGATTGGTCAGCCCTAACAATTTGGTACTTGATAGATTAGGTTAAATTTCCCAACTGACTATCGGATCTTTTAGCCTACAAAGTTTCTCTGAGAGTCAATTTGTGGGTTTAAATCCCACCCAAATCCCAGCAATGTTAATAACTCTACTTAAAATGATCAACGTACCTTCTTTATACGGAGGATTCCAATTAAGTCATCGACATGTTACAATTACCAGTCTTTCTCTTATCAATCCTTACAAAATTCCTAATAAATTCCCAAGGATAGTAGCTATTAAAGAATTAGTGTCTCTGTGATGTATTTCCATTCTTATCCCGACATTGTTAAGGATTCTACGTAAACGTTCCGCTTAATCTGGTATTATCCGACACTACACTAGAGAGGATATTAAGTCCATCTTTGGCATGTTGCAATCACTAATCTTTCTCTCATCACTCTTCATAAACTTCTTACGAAATTCCAGAGGAATGTTATTGGTGATTGGTGTCTCTGTGATGTATTTCATTTCTTTATTTAGGCTTTCCGACTTACAAGTCAAACTCGTAGCCCGATTACTTCAACATTATTATCAATCCTACTTTGACAGATTATATACAAGGTGAGATGATGTGAAATCCAAGTATCTATTCGAATGTGTTGGTTTCCTACGAACACTGGTATCTAAGTTTGTATCTTCTCTTCTCTTGATTTAGCAATGTGACATAGTTGACTCTGTTTCTTCATTTTCTAATTCCTGAGTGAACTGGATTGCATTTGCTGTCGAGTTAATATGTGTGAAAAGCCTCCATATATGTTCTAATCTCAACACAGTAAATGTGTCATCTACTTGGATTTCACATCATCTCACCTTGTATATATCTGTCAAAGTAGAATTGATAGCAATATTGAAATAATCGGGCTACGGGTTTTACTTGTACGTCAGGAAGTGTTAATAAAGAAATGAAATGCATCACAGAGACACTAATTCTCAATAACTACTATCCTTCGGAATTTCTTAAGAAGTTTATATGGAGTGATAAGAGAAGGGGTGGTAATGTTAATGGTAATTGCAACATGCCAAAGATGGATTTGAAATCCTCTGTACTGTAGTGACGTATGAAGAATGCACATCGAAAATTTCAAGTAGAATTATTAACAATTCTGGGATTAGGGTGACATTTAAACTCACAAACTCGTTCACAGAGAAACTGTGTAGGCTACAAGATTCAATAGAGCTGATTAAGAAAAATAACCAAACCATACGGCGGGTGGGATAGGATGACAATTCTAAAATTCAATATAGCTGACTAGGTGAAGGGACAGAATCTTTCTTCATTGAATCAACACCTAACACGTGTAACAGGAATGACTCATCAGATATTGCAGATATCTGAGAAATTTCACTACCATTACAATGAACGAATGAAGAACTGTTCGACTGTATGAGGTAAAGTGTGGTATATGAATAACAGATTGAGCTGGAAACATGATCTAGAAAATAAACAATCTAATATGAGAATATGTAATATTTGTATAACAAAATATTCAGTATTCAATAGCTTTACGTACCATTTGATTGTTTCATCGAAATATCTCGTATATCTTTACGAGCGGGTAAGGATGAATAATTCGGATTGAATCCTTTGTCTAGCTCTGCATCATTAGGTAAATTTACATAGGAATGACTTGAAGTTGGTAGCTATATTGATTATACACGTAGAAAAAAATGTGTAAAATGTAGACTATGAGAAAGGACAATGGAATAAAAATACTAGATATGATATATCTATAACATTTACAGGTTAATATGCTGAAGATAAATTGAAATTGATATTTATTTTGAAGTTAAAAACAATACACGGTTGTAATAGGTGAAGTGATGATTAGGGTAACTAGTTTTTAACGAATGCGTCTCTTGTTCAAAATCCTATCCCACCTACTTTGGCCTGGACAAGCCTTTTATCATACTTGTGGTCTATTCCACCAGTACACCGCTATTTATTTGTAATTCTGAAGTGATTCAGTGAATAAATATGAATACGCGAATGATATTAACGCAATGAGACACATTGGATTGGAAATGAATAGTGACTGTTCCCTCTCAGAACACTAAACTCCATTGTGATGAGAAAATCAAAAGCAAAGACCTGCCTGTGAGGCTGACTTTAAAGGCCACCCTAGTAACTGCTAGGATAACCAATTACGTCTCTATATTTTATGAGAATACTGTAGCCTAACTGGTCATTTTAGTAGTTGCTAGGGTGGCCTTTAAATCCATCCCTTTTGACCGCAAGGAAGACACTTTATTCAATAAAAATACATCACTTAAATACAGTTTTGATATACATATCAAACTGCTAGGTCAAAAGTTAAACACTTATTTTGATTGGTCAAGAGTTGGATAACTGTCCAATTAGGTTTATCTTGACTACACAGTATCATGAAATAAAAAACTTTCACTTGAGTGGCTGATCACTTAAAATGTTGATTTCCGTTTAAGCCACATCCTATCAATTTCACTAGTGACTGAAGGTGGAATTAGAAATTAAATGGATTGTCTTATTTCAAGTTGTTATTCATCGTAGACTGACATAAGCTCGAGGAACAAAGGAAACCTGGGAGCACTGGACGGCTGTTTCGCCCAAGTATGAGACTCCTCAGCAGTGCACACCCACGACCCCGCCATGGAACGAACCTGTGACCCTCAGGCTCCGCGGCCAGCGCGTTGCCATTGAGCCACTGGGTTAGAATCCAATGCTCCATATTTCCAACTTCTGTTAATTATTTACTCAGCTGCAGATCCGGTGTATCAAGAACATTTACTTTTACATGGAAGTTAGGTGTTCATTCTACTGACTTTTCATCAACCAGATTTTTAAATAAACAAAGTCTTGGATATGTGACTAAGAAGACAGTCTTATTACTGAGTGCATACTCGTACATATCATTGTTTTTCTGCTTACCTCCTCCACAAGTATGACATCCCATAAACAGAATGACTGAGAGCATGTAAAATCTAGCACAAAATAACAAGTGTTCACTACGTCATATTTCGACAGTAAGGCCAGATAGTAAATTTCAGTAAAATGAAAAATAATAGTACAATAAAAGTAGAAGGATAAAAATTTTAAGAAAAAAACAGAAACCCTTAGTCGACGAATAACATTCCAGTTGAGTGTAGTAAACGGGTGTCGACTTCCAGTCAATTCATCAAATACTTTATACCGGCAGTTATTGAATTCGAGCTTAGTGAGATAGCAGAGCTTCCACGGTCCGATACATTACCTCTGAGTATAACTGAGTAACTGAAAGATTTTATTCTAGTGTGAAACAATGACTTGTAGGTGTAATATATACACATTCAAACTTTACATCACCTATATGAAGGCAAATTATAACCCAATATTGAGACCTAAAGGACTGACATGAAAAACAGGCTAATATGATCAATTTATTGATTTACTAGTCATTCTCCCTTGTTTTACTGGATCGAATGGTCGGACTTCTATCAGTATATGGACCCCTACGCAGACGACTTGATATTGCCTGAATATTAATTATGGCAATTTAATTGGTTGTGGCTAGCAGAGGGATCCAGGACGCGCGTTACGTCCTATTTAGGACTTGTCAGCTGGATGTGCCTGCACCCCCGTAAGTGGTGTTGTTCCCGCTGAGACTCAGACCTCGTACCCATCGCTTCAAACACCAAGGCGTTGTCCACAAGGCCACAGAGGCACGATAGCCACTTCTTGTACAACAAAGTAAATTACCATAATTATTATGCATGCAACATGCAGGCATCCACATAGGAGGCCATATGCCAGTAGAGGTCGAACAATTCGATCCAGTGAAACAACGGAGAATGCCAAGTATATCAGTAAATAGTAATAACTAACACCCGTTGTACAAGAAATGGTTATCGCGCCTCTGTGACCTGGTGAATAACGTCTTGAAGTTTGAAGCGATTGGCACGAGGTTCGAGTTTCAGTGGGAACAACAGCACTCACTAGTGTGCAGATAAATCCAGTTGAGGAGTCCCAAATAGGACGAAACGCGCATCCTGGATTCCTCTGCTAGCCAAAAACAGGTAATATGATCAATGCTTTTATGGGCAAATGGAACACATCGTGATTGGAAAACCTTTGGAGATCGACTACTGATTAACTGATATAAGCATAGAATTTGAGCACTGTGATAGTGTAATTCAGTATCAGACTAGTCTATTGGATATAGCACAGTGATATCGAGTTATTCAACATTTGCAAAAAAAAAGAAGCAAAATTGATTACTGCAGAGGGATTATGCCAAACGTCGTTGATATTACAGAAAGTTTAGACACTGTTATACTGAGCAATATAAGAATAGTAATAGTCAACTTGCTTACAAATCACACGCAATCTTCTATGATGATTGCGAAATCATCTTGTAATAAACAATATAACTCTTCCACTTGATACAACGTTTGTGCATCAGGCTATGATTGTGCATGTGAGCTAATAATACTTGCCGGTTGACTTGGACGAAATAGGTAGCACAGGATTCAAAAAAAGAACCTATTAATTAAAATCTAAGTGCATACACGGAAGAGTTATAGTTCGATACGTCCATAGAAAGGAACGTTTTCTCAAGAACAAACATTTTCACCTCTAATGAACGAGGCTCTACACAGAATTACCACCACTGCAAACTAAGGTACTTCGACAGGCCATAGTTCATAATATACATCGATAGGCGGTTGTCTAAAATCTGTTAGTATAGCTCATGACCGATAGCTGCAACCTTGACCTGGTGGTCGAGCTTGTATATCACAATGAACCGACGAGCTATGTGGCTGAAACGTTTGTCCCTTCGAGATCCTAACATGCCAGAAAGATTAATTAGATGGTGATAAGACAAAAAGTAATTACTTTGAACACCGCATAGCGTCTGTAAAAAATGTCCGCTCTCTCCATTTTTATTCGACTTTATCATGGACGGTCATAAGGGGGTCTCTCACTCATCATCTGACTACACAAGGATAGATCTTACCATAGGAACGTTCAATGACTGAGGTGACTGAGATATGTGTTATGCATATCTGGTCACCGCCTACCCAACCGCGCAATTTTAACTGAAGTAGGCTCAGACTGGAAAAGAGTTAGTGCTGGCCAGACTAAAACATGACATCACTTCATGAAGTATTTGACTGTTGGTCTGAGCTATGTAGGTAAATGTAGACTTCCCAACTGCAGTTCGTGTGAGGAGAGAGAACAGTGTTTGGAGACTCTAAGTGGTATGGTTCAGAGTCAGTCTCAGTAGTACACATACTTTCGCAGAACATCTTCATCCCCATACATAATTCAGGATTCTCTTATTCCTATTTGCTCTCGTTTGATAACTTTCTTTCCGTTTCGGCTGTTTTCTTCATTTCTTTATATTTCACTGTGGTTCATTTTCGCTTCATGTGTTGGTATGTAGTGTGGCAACTCAGACAGCTACACAGTAAAACCACGTCCTATATTGCCATTTTCTGTCTCACAACAGCTAGTTTTAAGCAATATTTTCATCACAATTTACAGTAATGATTTGCCATAACCATAGAAGATTAGTCCTCAATAACTTTAAGATGGTATTATTGTTTGTATTATACTGTCGTTGATTGGACCGAATTGATCGGTGTCAATCGGCATATGGGTTCCTACGTGGATGCCTCGATATTACCCATGTTTTAATCATAGTAGTGATAGGTAGCAGCTACCAATGGAATCTAGGATGCACTGCTAACCACTATCCATCATTACTATCATTAAAACTTTGAGATACATTGAAATAATTTCTTCTCTTAGTATGAGACAACTATAATTTCGGTTTAAATGCGTATTTTCCCGCCAATTTGTTCAGGTACAGCGTACCAAGCTTAAAATGACTGAAATTTTTCCGGTAAATTAAAAATAATAACAATGAATGAAGGAGATGAACTTACTCCAAAAAGAATACAGAGGCAATAGGAATTCCATTTTATTGTAGAAATAATAAGATTAGTAATCAACTATAGACTGATAATAGCAACGCATGCAATCTTACTATTGAAAGAATCTAATTTATCCCCCACAATTTTGTATACGAATTATAGACAATAAATCAATAAAAAGTGAATGGTATTTCGTATATAAAGTGAATAATTGTTTTTCCATTTCAAATGAATATTGAATTACTTTTGGAATCATTTTAAAAGGTGTCTTGTACACATGTGAAGAAAATGAAACTGATCTTATAAATTTTAGGATCAAAATATAACCTGATAGAGTTGAATAAATTAAGCATTGGGTAAATGGATTATAAATTAATCATATTCTTAAAATCCCGAAAGGATAGAGAAATAAATTTCTGACGTTTCGCGAATTCGTCGAGATCGCTTCTTCAGAAATTTATTTTTCTATCTCAGTGGGATTTCAAAAATATTTTTTCACTTATGAAACTGATCCAACAAACGCTTAACGCATTCCAACATTAATGTGATAAATGTAGGGAATACATTGGCGAGAAATTCCATATCATTTAGGTTTTATGTTTGCTGAGGCTTATCAATGAGGAGTACCAGTTATCCTAAGAAAAGTTAAATCCCTAATGAGATTTGAAACCTGGATCTTTATAGCACTTAGATGAATGACTACAGTGTGAATTTGATAGATAAATTTCAATTATTATCACGAATACAGT